CACAGTGAACAGAAGTAGTGAAAGAGGACATCCCTGTCTTGTTCCAGTTGTTAGAGGAAATGCTTTGTTTTTCTTCATTTAGAAAAATGTTGGCCTTAGGTTTGTTGTATATTGCTCCTACAATGTTGATGTGTATTCCTRCTATCCATAATTTTTCTCATGTTTTAAACACAAATGGATGCTTTTTCATTTTTCAAATGCTTTTTCTGCGTCTATTGAGATAATCATGTGATTACTGTCTTTAAGTCTATTTATGTGGTGAATTATAATTATTGCTTTCCATATGTTGAACCAACCTTGTATCCCTGGGATGAAATCCCCTGGATCGTGGTGCACTGTCTTTTTAATGTCTTTTTGTATGTGATTTTTTGGATTGAACTCAGCTTCACTCAACCACTGAGCCACATCCCCTATATTTTATTTTATTTAAAGACAAGGTATCACTGAGTTGCTCAGTGCCTTGCTTTTGCTGAGGCTGGCTTTGAACTCACGACTCTCCTGCCTCAGTCTCCCAAACTTCTGGGATTACATGTGTGCACCACCACACAAAGCTATTTACCCACATTTTTACTGACCCTTTTTTTTTCTTTCATATTGATATTCCACTTTCCTTCTTTTATCATTTCCTTTATGCCTAGAAAGAAAAAAGTTCCTTTAACCATTCTTTTAGGGTAGATCTTCTAATAATTACTCTGTGGTCTCCCTGAACCCATCCTATCCATCTATCGACAATAAATAGTGCCTTACAGAAGTATATCAAAATACAGATATAGAAGATACCCCAAAAGTAGGGTCAAAAGTAATGGAATTACTCTTTTAGAGCTGAAGGAAGAGGGCGCTGCAATTTATCAGTGAGACAATGGGAATTRAAAAGGCTTGAAGGGGGGTTGAGAACATTTCAACTTCTGGGACTGTCGTTTATGATAATTATAATGATAGGGGAGATGGAAAAAACAATTTAAGGATCAAGAACAAAGRGCAAAGAGAAATGAAGACTATACAAACTTCCCTTTCTCCTGCAGTACTCCACAAAGGATTTTTTTCTTCCTCAAAAATAATGATTGAATGCCAGTCTATTACTCTCTTCAAGTACTCCCCTAAAACAACTACAAACTTTTTAGGTGAGGAGTTTCTCGGCCTGATAAACATCTCTGAGACTCTATGTCAGCGAGATCAGAAATATTGATGTGGTCATGATATTTATAAGCCACTGCCATAGAACCTTACCTGACACACCTCTCTCAGTGATTCCCATCTCATAGAGGAGGCAAGCTGGGAGGGAAACAGCTTTTCTTAATCCTCAGATAGGCAATGACAGGGTCTCCAATTTCTGCTTCTTTAAGCAACCAGGTTCTCATAATCTCCCAGCACCTATATCTTCTCCAATCACTAATTCTACCTCCTCCTTTAGAGACAAATAAGAAAAGAATGGGGACTGTTATTCCAAGGTCATAATTGGAATGTCATATTTCCCATTCTGGTAGCCACAGAGCAATAAAGGAAAACATTCACCTCAAGTTTGAAAATTTTTAAAGTGATTAGGAACTCTTTCCAGATCCAAGACATTGACAAGCTTTAAAAAAAAAAAAAAAAAAAAAGAATGAGCACATAATGATTTTGGTTGGCTTTCTCTTTTAATCAAAAACATACTTTGTTACAGAGTTCTCAAGAAGATTCAACTATTTTTTTTAGCCACAGACTTCAACCCGGCAAATGTATACAGAAAGCCACAAAGGAACTAACTGGAGCTTCAGCTGACCAGTTTTCCCAAAAGCAGAAGCTAAGAGTGGCTCTTCTCTGGGTTTTGGCATAGCTGTATTCCTTGGGYTTTGCGGGAGGAGACAGAGTTGGGAAATACCATCACCAAATCTGTCCCTAACCCCCTAGTCACTTCTTCCAAAATGGGCTCTGAAGTCCACCAGGTTTTCGTCATCCATAAGCATTCACACTTTTTCCTTAAATCACATATTCAATGCATTACACAAAAYCCCAAATTGGAGGAAGTTTGCTAACTCCATGGTTAGCCATTTAACTAATCCAAGCCCATGAGTCCTTCTATCAATGGCAAGCAGCCTTAGCAATAGCAGCTGGTTTCATCCCAACCTCTCCAGCTACTAGAGCTGGTCTCTACCAGGACTCCCCAACCCCCCACCTTCAACCCACCCTCAAAGAATTCTTCCCAGGTCCTTGAAAATGCCAAGTTCATAAACTATCCTCATCCAGGAGTAAACTGGAAGAGAAYTCAGAAAGGAATGACCCAGCCAAAAGTTGTCAAAATGGACCTAAAAAGAACCAAAATAAAATTGAATTATCACCCACTGGTAATGTTTTGAATCATATAAACCATTTTAACAAATGCAGTTCAGAGGAATTACCACTTTGATCACAGAAGAGTTAAGGAACCAAAGACCCAAAGTAATGGCCTCTCATATCATTAGGCATTAACAATAGGTTTTCGATCCATTTTAGTTGAAAAAAAAACTACCAGTACAGAACACTTATAAGGATGGTATCATGCACATACTCTCTTAGAAGCTAGAATGTCATGACCCAGAAAAAAGCCTTTATAAACTTTGAACAGAGATGATGGAAAAATGAAGGCTTTCCCCCTTCTCAGGTTTTTGTTCTTATAAAGTATTTATTGCAGCCCCTAAGGTGGTGCTAGGCCTTTGGTTAAAATTAAGTCTTAAGAACATATTATGTAACCTCTAGTCCACAGGAGAACAGTAATAACATAGCAAGCCTAATCTTACTTGAATAACTGGGGCGGGGGAACGATACACACCTCAAACAGCAGAGTAGGTAAGAAAGAAATACAAAACTGCTGCAAGGTAGGCAAGGTCACTTAGAATTCAGAGCTGGAAGAACTAATCTAGTCCAACTCCCTCATTTTACAGATGAGGCAACTGAGGCCCAGAGAAGGTAAATGACTTACCCAAGGTCACACATCAAATTAGTGGCAGAGCACAAACTAAAGAGTGCAAATGTCTGGCCTAACCAGGAGCCATTAGTTTCAGACTGAACATGAACATGAACTCTGGCCTTACTGAAAATGCTTCTTAAATAAACTATGTGAAAAGTACCCATATCCACAGAGAGAAATGATTGTCTTCACCTAAGTTTTCTCCTTAGTCTTCCCACATTAAGGGGTGTGTGTGTTGGGGGGGGAGTCCTTTCATTCATTCAAGTCTGATGTTAAAATCCCTGAAAACATCAGCCGTTACTTTAGTTACTCCTTGGGGCAGGTTATCAGTCACTCAATTTTCATAAAGGCACCTGTAGGTCAAAAGTATAGAGGAGGAAGGTAGAGCTGAGAGAACACCAAAACAAAACAAAACAGACCCTCTTAATTTCTGAGGTTTGTGTTGTGTGTCTAGTTTGCTGGTGTCCTCTAAGCAACAGTACTGCCTCTGGCTGTTGATGCTAATTTTGGAACCTTTGTAACCCCGTTTTTTGTATGAGCAGCACTTAACTGGAAACAATAAAACCTTTCAAAACATAAGGGGGAAAATATGAATATGACTCATTTCTCTCTACCTCAACCACCTGAAACTCACTCAGCAAGAATCAGAGAAGACTGGAAGTAGTCAAACTGATGTCAAACGCCAATGCACTGAAGTCCTTTTCAACACCTGACAGAAGAACGTCTTTTGAGTCCTGTCCCAGAATTTGTACTTCCATTTTAAAGAAAGATCTAAAAATTCTGGTTATCTGGTTTCCTTGCTCAAGCAGTTAGAAATAATAGAAAGGAAAGAAGAAAATACTAAGGAGAGGCACACAGGAAACGGCAGCTATCAGAAAGGAAAAAGTCCAGAAGAGAAAAAGGAGGGTTAAAATGACTGAAAATTCAAAACCAGAGCAGTCTGGGACATTTAGTAAAGAGAAAACAGTTTTGTCTAATCTTAGAAGCTCCTGAAGTCTACACAGACAGCTAAGTACAAAAGAAATGTTATATTCAGTATATTCTCTGATATACAGATTGAATAACTCCATCAAGAAAATAGCTTAAAAAGTTTTACTGCTTAGTAAGGCAAGTTTGTGGAAAATTTCATCCCATAGTGATACCAGATAAACAACCTAGCAACACTGGGACAAGTGCTAGGAATAAGGCTGGGCCACGGAAGCTAATAAGAATAAGGCCACTGACTTTTTACATCCTTCTTAGTATATTAATTAAGARAAGAAATTACGTAGTTTTCAGAAGGAAAAGAATGGAAAGACTTGCCTAAGATCCTCCCAGCCTATTCTCAATAATCTTGCAAAGCAGGATTTAGAAGATTATTTACAGACTGCTACCTGCAACAAGATGAGTTTTGCCTTAATTTTTTTTTTTAATTTTTAAAGGCATTTCTTCATGCAGTGTTAGCTGCTAATCTCTGCCARGTCCCACCTACAAAAGTTGTTAGCCAACTTCACATGTAATTGCTCTCACGTAGTCATTTACCTCAGTAACCTAAATTCACCATTTTACCAATTTACTGTCATTAAATCAAATGCTAATAAAATGACTGATGAAGGAAGCAAACTATAGAATCAGTTAAAAAGAATTCTTCCCTATTCAGAGAATAAAACTGCTCCTTCAAAAAGGGTTTGAACTTAATTGACTTTGTATAAAACAGCTAGTGACTCTTAACCAGTTACCACCAGATCAGGAGCAAAAATATTTTGCCTCCAGAGATATTTAGGGAGTATTAGGGGGAAAATGTAAATTTTCGTTTCCCAGATGGCCATAATCAAAAAGATACCTGCAATTCACCTTCCTACAATTAACAATAAACTTTTAAAATAAGAATTCTCATAAGACAGTATATTTTACTTTTCCTCCAAAATTGCAAAATTACTATTACAAACCATACCATACTCCCCCATAAAAATGGTTTTTTAACTTTGAAATAAGACATAGCCAATAATGTGGTGTTTGCTTAAAATTCCAAGTATTATTTTTACAACACAGATAATAATGTGTTGTTTATCTGGATGTTCAGGTATAGTTAAACTTAAGCAAGATCCTTCAATCTGTAACCCTGTACCATTTACAGGAAGAATAGGATTGGCAACCTAGTTAGTGGTTACAGCAATCCAAACKAGCCATGTTTCTAGAAAAACAAGGTTATATGGCAGTGATTTATCATCATTATCTTTGTATACCAGGGGCAGTAAATTATTTAAAAAAAAAAAAAAAAAGACTCAACCCACAAAAACATATGCTCCCTGGCAAAAAAGGCAATCCCCTTAAGAATTCCCTTTGATAATGCACATAAAGGCACAAGACAAAAGTAGAATGGGTTTCTCTGGATGTACCTGGTTCATCTCTTTCAGCTTTCACTGAAATTCAACATTCTGAAAGACTTTGAGATATGAATTAGCTACAGAAACCCACCTAGAACCATACCCACATTATAATCAAACTCTAAGAACTGTAGAAACTATTTTATCCTAAAGTAGACGTAAAGTTTTAAGCCTAGTGAGAGTCTTTAGTCTTACTCAGAGATGACCACCTCTAAGAAATTGAAATACAGTTTAACAGCCAYATTGTCGGGAATAATTGATAACATATTAAATATTTTCTCAAAAGCATGTGACAATCTAGGTACAAATACAAGCAATTAATAACTAAAAGTATTTCTATATTTTATGGCTCTTAGTAGAAAGAAACCAAGAATGGTAGCTTGGCTTTGAAGAGATATTTCTCAGCAAATATTTTCCACATATTTTATGAAGATGATTAAACATGAAAACCTTCCTTAAAGTAGAAAAGGAAGCCACAGGTTATACCACTGCATGGTTAAGATTCTAATTAAATAATCTGGATTTTTTAAAAATCTGTTATTCTAAAACTCTCTCCTCTTACTCCTATTCCTCATTCATAGGAAAATGGACCTACAGATAAAATTTATAGAGAAGATATTCTTTTATAATTCTGCCCAAAAAGAAACCCTGAAAAATCATCAAATTTACACAGTTGAAAATTGGGTCTTTACCAAAAGTACCTGTGAATACTCAAGAGAAGTTGTTTTAAAAATAGGACATGTAATTTTGATCAAGAGCTATATTTCATCACAGCAATAAACAGTGGTTTCTAGAACTGTCTTATTAAGACCTTCTGAGCAAGGCCAAAGACTTGTTCATTTCAGCTGATACAGGAGGGCCACTATTCCTAAGTGTTTCTAGAGTTCAAATGTATAACACACCTTAAAGAATCTTTAAAAGCTTACAGAAGTCCTCTAAGCAAAAACTAAAAACATCTGAAAGATAATCCTTGATTTTATTTCACACTACTTTATCTTGTAGACAATCTATTTTCTATAGACAAACAGGCTTTTTTTTTTTTTTGTGCCACAGTAAAAGTTTAAAACAAAGCAAACAAAACAAAACAAAAAAATACTTTACACACGATAACAACATCCATGGGAAAGTCCTGGTAGAGTGTGAAGGAAAAACCAAAGCTGCCCAATACAATTGGCTGTTGCCTGTCACTTAGTAGAAGGTGTCTTGCCACTRAGATTGGACTCAAAGTGCAAAAGAACAAAATTTTAAAAATCAAACCTAGAGTTCAACTTTGTATGTTGAGATTCAGTTTTATTTATGCTACTAACTAGGTAAAAAGCATACATATTATGTCTGTGGTACAGTCAATACATCTGCAACTTTTCTACTACTTAAATTCTCTATACAAAGTCACTGCCGATTGTTATGATCAATGATGGCAAAGGGCTTAGAATAACCAAAAGATATAAAAAAGTTTGCAGTCTTGCCCCAAGATACAAAAACTGAATTTTAAACAATATCATAACATACATGATTTAAACGGTATTCCAAAAAAAGTCACACATCAAATCAAGTACAAAAATATCCAAACTACCTATTATGAACTGCAATGTTTCCATTATTCTGCACAGTATTTAACAGAGAATTTAGCAGTTCCAACACACTCATTATTTAGTCTAAGCACTGCACCTTTGTAGAACAGTGAGATATTAGGTAGAGTGACACTGCTTTTAGTGTTTTTTTTTTTTAAATACAAAACCTTTCCCTATGAATTAATGAAGGAAAAGAAATTCCTCTTCTAGGCTTCTTAGAAACCACCCTTGTGCCTAGATATACAGAAGAATACGACTACTGTTTAACAGGGCAAAAGTGTACTTCTTGATAAATAGTCACCCAATAGGGATAACAAATTCARTATCTGTTACATTTCTTTGTCTGGTAATTTTAAGGAATTCTCAATATACACACAGATTAGTGTTTTGCCTTGGCAAAAATAAAACTGAAGTTGCAAGACAATCTGAATTAAAATCATCTTCACTAGTTTAACTTGCAAAAAAATATTTTGGATAAAAGGTTATAATACATTACTATCTTATTTTTTAAAATACAGAGTAAAGTTGCTCTCGGTAAAATTAACTCACCTGCATGGCACAATATTTTGGAGTAAARTATGTTCAACAATAACAATTTGCACAAAAAATAACATAGGTGAATTAACTTTGAGAACTTCTCTGCCTTTAAAATCAATAATATTGAATTTATTCTGTAGAATAACACACATACCAATGTTCTGCACATAAAAGGTTCCAAGACATTTTAAAGGGCTAAATTTTCCAACACTGGAATGACTCCTTCATACATAACTGATAAAGACTTAGTAAGAATGAGTTCTTCCTGATCTTCAAAGTCTGCCCCATGCCTGAAAAGTTCTAAATAGGAAAAAAATTGTTTTAATCCAGTTTCTGTCTGCTAGGAGCAAGGCAGCAAACACATTTCAACCCTTTATGAAAAGATAAAGCAGAACAAAAATGAAATAGATCTTCAGGTTACAAACAGGATTGTATCTTATAGTCCACCATCCTGATAATGTTAAGGGCCCCCACAGTGAGAGACCTCAGTCTAAAGGCTGTGGGTCTGCAATAGGCATGGTGTGAAGTACTTCATCTAGGAGCTGGAGGGCCCGGTGTAAGTGGATCTCAATCCAGCAAGGCGTTTCTTTGATACTCTGTCTTGGATAATCCGGTCCCCAGCCTTTCACAAAGCTCATCCTGAGTATGCATAATCGACGAAGATCATCAACGCCAATGCCAGCAGCAGCTGAGAGACCTAACAGAAAAAGTTTGGAAGATGTTAGAGGAACATGGTGATCTCTTCCCATCCTCCCTACATTCTACTTTATTTTTCCCAGTATAAAATTTCTCTGTCAAAGTGGCAAAAGGTAACAGTAGAGCTAAACCTTATCAATAGGAACTGAAAACTTTTGGTTAAGGCAGTTTACATTCTACAAGTGTCTTCTACGTATTTCCAATTATAAAGTAAATTACTATAATCCAATAACACCCCAGCTATTTTTCTCATTAGAAATGGAGGTGAAAGGATAAGAAACTTGCTTTTAAGAGGTAGTATACATAAACAGGAACCTTACTATTTATCTAAGCAGCCTATTTTACAGTAAGACATGACTAATAATGAGAGTTAATATGCCTAGCTCCACTAATACACCTTAGATGACCCAGATGATGTTTATCTTGCAATTTCACAGTATAAAATATGCAATGGGGGCAGTTAGATGAGAATAAGAAAGTGAATACTAGTTCTGAATTCTTTAGGAAAAAACATGTTTATAACATCAAAGCTAGCAAATTAATCGTTCAGGTGCTCGATTTCTTTTTTAAAGATGAAACTCTCAATGAATGTCTTATCTATGTCTAAACTGTAAACTCCTGAACACAATGGAGACTCTGCATCTAATTTTTCAGTCAAAACACACAGTCATATAGTCATCTGCATATATCAATATTACCATGAAACTAATGGGAAGAATTTGCATGTACTGTAGAGAAACCTGCAGGGCCACTGCAGTTTTCTTAGCCAGTGTGATTTGCTTACCACACTGAAGAGGTTAAGAACAGGGGTTGAATGAATCACTAGTTATGCCTTCAGACGTGGAAGATGGGTGCCACGTGTTTCCATCATAAAAGTCTATAGTCAGGAGTTTAACTCTGCAGTAAAAAATTCCCCATCAGTGTGAAACCTGGCACACAGTTCAATTTTACCCTAAAATTAAAAAAAAGTCTACAAGTTATCAAAATACCACCCTCACTCAGTTTTCTCTCCATGCTTAGCATACTTTAAAAAAAAAAAATCAGAGAGGTGTCCAATTCTGAAAATGAAATATGCTTCTTAGTAGAATAATGCCAAGCATTTCAATGATTATAACCCACCCTGACTGGTGAGGCAGAAATCATTTTAAAAAATCAATAAAAAGGGGGAGACAGAACAATATAATAATAGCCCCCTTTATCCCAAATTCCCTTTTGATACAAAAAGAACACAAATGGCTCTATCCTAGACAAGRGCAACTATTATCATCCCAGGGGAAAAAAAAATATTTCTATTACTGCTTAAGGGAACTGATCAACTGAGTGAATCAAGATAAAATGCCACTATTATATTAAAAAAAAAAATCAAGAGCATACTTACTGATAGCTGGAGCTATGCCACCTACTGATCCAGGACCAGGGATGTTTCCTGCCACGGCTGCTGCTTGGGCAGCTGCTGCAGCTTGTGCAGTGGCCGCCTGCTGCTGCATCTGTCGATGACACTGACGCAAATCAAAGACCTTTCCAAAAAAAAAAAAATCTGTTTAATGTTATGAACCCATTGGAAAAGATTTAATACATCAAAATCCAATGAGTAAGTTATTGAAAATTCACAGCTTCATTTTACCTCCCACTAGATGAGATTTAACTAAAAATTTTAATTTCTATATAGATTATAACTAGAATAACACTAGTTAGGAAGGTTGGCTTAGAACTCACCAAGAGGAACATTTTACTGTTAGGAATCTGGCTGCCACAAACTGCAGCATTCTTTACCTAGTTAAGTGTGGAACCGCTGTACTGTCTTTGTGAAAAGCCACCTATCTGTGAAATTACCCGCTCTTCATAACCAAATTGATGAGTTGTCTCTAGGTTGGAGTTGATGGCTATAGTCTCCTGGTCAACATCTTTTGTTCCCATTCTTTATCATTTCTGGAGTTCATTGAACTACTTTATATGTTTGAAAATATTTATGATTTTAAAAGAAAAAAAACAGCTTTGAATCCCATCCCTGATATCTGCTTATTATGTGTGTTAAGTTTTTTAACCTCTCTGGAGCCTCCTCAATTTTCTTATCTGTAAAATGAGTACTAAGTGTACATACTTTCAKAGGGTTACTGTAAACTTGGCAGAGTAAACTGTCAATAAATGTTAYTTATTATTTTGTTCTTGGCCTCACCAGTASCCATCTTTGGGTATGTGTTAAGGAGGAGCTGGCTGACCAATAATTCCAGTGTTCTCTTTCAAGGAAGCCAAGGACTAGTATAGTAAGAAAGGGACTGATGTCACTTTTATCATGAAAATATTGACATGTCCTTTCAATACACAACAAATTATGGATAATAGTTCATATCACTCTTTCTGGGAAAAAGCCAACATCCTAAAATAATACATTTATTTGCAAGTTTAAAAAGCACTAGAAGATTACACAAAAGCTGTCATCTAGGAAAAGAAGATGAGGAGAAGGGTAGAAGCAAGGCTGCCCAATGTCAACCATTTTTTTAAATCATTTTAATCTCTGAAACCATGTAGTCACATTCCCTATTCAAAAGTCAACCAGTTGTTTAAAAATTCTCTGGTGGGCTGGGGTTGTGACTCAGCGGTAGAGCACTCGTGCAAGACMCTGGGTTGGATCCTCAGCACCACATAAAAAATAAATAGATAAAATAAAGGTATTGTGTCCAACTAGAACTAAAAACTAAATATTAAAAAAAATTATCTGGTATGCAGCTAAATGAGCTGCATAGAAACAAACTTAATTATGATTAAAATAAAAGAAACAGAATGCATAACTTACTATTTGGTGATACACAACAGCTTTAGAACCCAAACCATAAATTTTCAAATGCTTGAACAAGTTCTGATGGTCTTCAACCACAGTATTTACATAAACCAAAACAATATACAATAGTAAATCCCTCCAAGTAACAATCATATTCCTATTTATTTTTCTACTCAATATCTATCTTATCAAAAAGTCTTTCTTGATTAGTATCAATGAAATACAAAACTTAGGACTATCCTATTCTTTAAAGAGATATGAATTTTTCAAATATATATGTATTACCTGACAAACCTACAAATTCCTAAAAAAAACTTCAAAACAGAGATCATGATAAAGTTGGGTTCTAGAAATCAGAAATCTCACAATGCCCCCAATAAAAAGCAGGACTTTCTCAAGATTTCATTAGATTGTGAACTCTTCTACTGGGCTATGACCATTAGAAGGCATGTTACCTAGCATGGCACAAAGCAGGCATAAACATCTTAAGAGCTGAATAGATACATAAACACTTTAAGAAAGAAGAAAATTAATAAACTACTTTTTAGAGTAGTTTTAGATTTAGAACAAAACTGAGCACTTAACATYCTTGCTATCTGAAGGAGTTTAACAAACAGCATTGTCACTACATAAGAAACATCAGGGTTGGGGTTTTATTTCCCCCACCCCCACCCCTGAACCAGGGATTGAACCCAGGGATGCTTTACCACTGAGCCACATCCCCAGCCCTTTTTATTATATTTTATTTGGAGACAGGGTCTCAACTAAGTTGCTTAGTGCCTGGCTAAATTGCTGAGGCTGGCTTTGAACTTTCAATCCTCCTGCCTCAGCCTCCCAAATTGCTGGGATTACAGGTGGGATTATAAGCAGGTGCCACCACACCTGGCAGGGTTGGGGYTTTCAAGTGCAAGACCCTGAATTCAGTCCTCAACCTGGGGGAAAATAAAAGAGAAAACGCCCATATATATTTTTTAAAAATGCCTATTCTAGTATGTAGGACTAGAATAACATGATAACTAAGGCTGGTTTTCAAATTCTTCTTTCAAAGAAAAAAAAAGATCAAGTAAAGGAAATATAAAATCTTAACTACTTCATCTGGGTTTTGTGTTCTGGATTTCATTAAACTACCTTATTCACTAGTTTATCTACAGAGTCCCTGCCATCACACACATAAACCTCCCCAACTAATGACATYCCCACCACAGTGGCACACTTGTTAGAATAAATCAATCTAGAGTGACACAAAGTCCACAGTCACAACATAAGGGCTCACTCTTGGTATTGTACATTCTATGGGTTTGCACCAACTTATAATGATGTATATCCATTATCATAGTTTATCACACACTTTCACAGTACTAAAAATCCTCTATGTTCTGTCTATATTCATTCCTGCCTCCCCACTATCCTCTAGTAACTGATCTTCTTACTATCTCAATAGTTTGTCTTTTCTAGAATATCATYTGGTTGGAATCATATAGTATGTAATTCCTCCGTGTCTTTTCAGTGCCTGATAGCTCACTTCTTTTTAACATTGATTAATAGCTCATTGTCTGATGTACTACAGTTTATATATTCACTTACTGAAGAACATCCTGGTTGCTTTCAAGTTTTGTCAACTATGAAAAAGGTTATGGTTTTTGTGTGGACTTAAGTTTTTGATTTGAGTAAATGAAAAGAAATGTGACTGCCAGATTGTATAGTAGGAATATGTTTAGTTTTATAAGAAACTGCTACACCATTTACCAAAATGACTATATCATTTTGCATTCTTACTACCAACAAATCAGAGTCCCCATGATCTCACCAGCATTTGATTTATATGTTGACCATTCTAATAAGCATGCAGTGGTATTTCATGACTTTTTTTTTGAGAGAGATAATTTTTTAATTTTTAAATTTTCAGTTATCAGTGGACACAACATCTTTATTCTATTTGTATGTGGTGCTGAGGATCGATCCCAGCACCCAGCGCGTGCCAGACAAGTGCGCTACTGCTTGAGCCACATCTCCAGCCCCATATGACTTTCAATTTCATAATGACATATGATGTAAACATCTCTTCAGATGCTTGCTTGCCATCAGTGTAACTTCTTCAGTGAGACATCTGTTCAGGTATTTTGCTCATGTTTTAATCAAGTTTTTTTGTTTCCCTATTGTTGAATTTTAAGAATTTGTATATTTTGAGTAACAGGGAAGACAGTAGAAGGTGTCACACATAAATTTCCTTTGYTCATAAATGAATACATGACTAGTATTAAGTCCACATTATGTAAAAACACAAGAACGAGATCCCAATTGGAATGGGTTTTCTCCATGTATGTATGTCAAAATATGCCAGGTGCAGGGGCGTATCCCGGGTATGTATGTCAAAATATGCCAGGTGCAGGGGCGTATCCCGGTGGCTTGGGAGCCTGAGTCAGGAGGATCATGAATGAGTTCAAGGCCAGCCTCAGCAAAAGTGAGACACTAAGCAACTAATTGAGACCCTGTCTCTAAATAAAATACAAACTAGGGCTGGGGATGTGGCTCAGCGGTCAAGTGCCCAAGTTCAATCTCCATATATACTCAAACTGTCATATATATCTAACTTTATTTTATTTAATATGGTGATGAGGATCAAACCCAGTGCCTCGCACGTGCGAGGCAAAAAAACTACTCTATCGCTGAGCCACAACCCCAGCCCCCCCACCCCGTCATGTATATCTAAAAACAACAAATTTTTAAAAATAGTCCTTTATCAGTAGATCAGCAATGCCTTTGGGAAATATTTTCTTCCTAACTGTGGCTTGTCTTCTCATTCTTTTGACATTGCCTCACACAGAGCAGAAGTTAATGTTAATGAAGTACAGGCTATCAAATGCTTTTCTTGAATCATATCACTGAAGTTATATCTAAAAAGTCACCACCAAGGTCATTTAGGTTTTCTCTTATTACCTTATAGGAGTTTTAGAGTTTGTATTTTAAATATAAGTCTCTATAACCACTTTTTCTTTTTTATTAACATCACTAATCAAATACTGTACACATGTAATATTATTTGGGAGTAGAGAATAAAACTTTCCTATAAATCTTTTTGGTTCAAATGTGTTCTCAACACTCCCCTACCATGAAATCATTAAAAATACAAAGAAATCACCACAGACAGGAATGCTACAATTATATTATAAATAATCACATCTAGGATTGTTTTAGCCAGATCTATGCTAACACCTGCAGCATATACTACAAGCAAAGAAGAAACCTGAGGACTTTTATCTGTTATGTGAGGCATCTATTCAAGTATTTTGCTCATGTTTTAATCAAGTTTTTTTGTTTCCCTACGGTTGAATTTTAAGAGTTTGTATATTCTGAGTAATAAGACAGAATGAGTCACACATAACTTTCCTTTRCTCATAAATGAATACACGACTAGTGTTAAGTCCACAATATATACAAACACAAGAATGAGATCCCAATTGGAATGGGTTTTCTCCATGTATGTAGTAAAGTAATTGTACATCTTCTCCATGAAGATGTAGTAAGAATGATTCACTAGGCACCTTAGCAAACCTTCCTTCCATAATGGACTATTTATATAATTACTATGTTCAAACCAGAGACTTAAAATTATTCAGTTAAACAGCACTACACTACTGAGACCTGAGTGGTCTCCTGATTTTACACCATAATTGATACACTACACAAGAGAAATCTGTTATGCTGGATAGTAGAATTCAGGCTATCATTGAAATGRTA